TGTAGGCATTAATGATGTTCCTTGCCGTACTCGCGTTAACACCGGCGACTTCAGCGGCTTCCCGAGTAGTTTTGCCGTCGACCAGCACAAGTTTTGTGCGAATTTCTCTTTGCGCAAATGATGTTCGCCTGCAGTGCCGTCGCGTCGGCCACCAGCTCTCCTGTTGTCCGTCACTCATTTTGGTCGTTTCGTGCGGCACGGAACTAATAAAGCTAAGTTGTGTTGAGTGGAACCATTATCGTATGCTCGGCTCCAATAGTGGTACCGCTGCATAGGTCAGTTCACACACCCAGACAAAACACACGAATTCCACTGGGGGGGGGTGTAGGGGAAAATAGGTCACCGATTTTGACCCAGGTGAACGGCACTCATGTCAAGAGAAGGGCTTACACAATCACCCACTACGTACGCAGTTCGGTTACATTATCGTGACCACAATGTGGCCTGAACATCGTGTAATCGGCCCACTCCTCAGTAGTTGATATGTTGCAACAATAGGCTATAGATCTAGACTGGTTTTGCTGGGGGTCATTACAGCCTACGCTGATACAATAACGTGGCAGTTGCGAAAGCTAATAGAGAGACGGGCGAAGCTGGGACACCGCCTACCTGCTTCATCCGACATGGTCCCATTGACCGAATCGGACAAGGTTCCCTCTAATGAGAATAACGGTGCACATTGAGATTGCGCATCGCAATCCACTCACAAAATGATTGATACACAATTACGATTCGGACGTCCGATTTTCCAATTGTCACACACCTACACAGGTTGATGCGTATGGGCACTGCACACCAACTAGGCGAATGTCAATGGGGAGAGGGGAGCGTAGTTCAGAACTTCGGTCGCTGCTCACGATCAAGCAAATGTTTTACAGTGTAGCCCGCTGCTTACACAATGCCGGTGTATTAGCGTCATCACAATGTATATTCTGAACATCATTCAGCAGTCTTACTGCTCGTTTCTTACCAACAAATTGGCCAGTTGCTACTTAGATTGCAACGTGTCCAATTTGTTTTGCAAAATGTCCAGTTTGGTTTGCAAAATGTCCAGTTTGGTTTACAAAATGTCCAATGTGGTTTGCAAAATGTCCAATGTGGTTTGCAAAATGTCCAATGTGGTTTGCAAAATGTCCAATGTGGTTTGCAAAATGTGCAATATGGTTTGTAAAATGTCCAGTTTGGTTTGTAAAATGCCCAATGTGGTTTGCAAAATGTCCAATTAGTTTGAAATATTTCCAATGTGTTTTGGAAAATGTCCAGTTTAAAGTGAAAATGTTATGTATGGTTGGCGACATCCGTTTTCATGTTTGTCGGTCACTGTGGTCAGCCAAAGGACGCCTGCGCTTACAGAGTGACCAAGGGTGTCTTGCGCTGCACCACCCACAGCTGCAAGCATACACTTCATTTCCAGTGTAAACTCGAAGCAATAAGACCGGGAGGCATGTGGATGGGAGCCACGTTTCATCAACGGAGCCGGCCCACACTCCTTCACAGGCAAACACAAGCACGCTGTATTTGGGAATCAAGCGCACACAAGGCGGTGGCTGGACCGTAGTCCGCTCCACACTGAGTGCATGGAACCACTCTTCGATCCTAGCACGGTCACAAGGACCGTGCACCCCGTCCCCTCCAGCAACGACCAACTGTCTCCTAGAGCCAGTATGGACGAGGTAGTGGGTAATAGACAGGTAGGCACCTTGTCAACATGCACATCAAGCGCAGCCACACCGGGATGTCAAACAACAGCCAATCACTTGAAATGACATTATCAAATAAAATATATCTGTTAAAGAATACGGCTACATCGATATAACTCTTCGATAAATTAGCATATGAATTAAGGTAGTTATCAACGAATCCGCGATAAGTACCAAACGTCCAAAAGTTACTCCAAAAATACTACAAACACCATAAGTTTAACGAAGACAACCACAAGTAGCGTAAACAACTTGGTCAGTTAATAGAAGACTATTCAGGTATGCAGAACAAAGCAAATAAAGTGGAAGGAAAATTATCCGGCTTATAAAGACCTAGTGTATGTGTAAGTTAGCTTAGCCCAACTACTGTGACGAAGCATCATGAATGCAACATTAGCCTCAGCATGGTGCAACGTATATATAAATACATATGGTTGGCGGCATCCGGATTCAGATTTGCCTGTCACTGTGGCCAGCGCCACAGGACGCCTGCGCCTACAGAGGGACCATGGGTGGCTTGCGCTGCACCACCCACAGCTCCAACCACGCACCCCATATCCAGTGTAAACCCGAAGGAATAAGACCGGGAGGAATGTGGATGGGAGCCACGTTTCATCAACGGAGCCGGCGCACACTCCTTCACAGGCAAACACAAGCACGCTGTACTTGGGGAATCAAGCGCACACAAGGCGGTGGCTGGACCGTAGTCCGCTCCACACTGAGTGCATGGAACCGCTGTTTGAGCCTAGCACGGCCACAAGGACTGTGCACCCCGTCCCCTCCAGCAACGACCAACTGTCTCCTGGAGCCAGTATGAACGAGGTAGTGCGTAATAGACAGGTAGGCACCTTGTCAACATGCACATCAAGCGCAGCCACACCGGGGATATCAAGCAACAGCCATTCACTTTAAACGACAAGCTGAAATAAAATAAATCCAGTAATGCATACAGATACGGTGGCATAACTCTTCCCTAAATTACCATATGAAGTAAGTTGGTTAGCAAAGAGTCCGCAATAAGTAAGAAATGTCCACAAGTTACTTAAAAATGCTACAAAAGCAACAAAATTGCCGGGGATAAGCGCAATTAGCGTAAGCAATATGGCCAGTTAACAGAACATTATGCAGGTAGGCAGAACAAACCAAAAATAAAGTGGAATGAAATGTATCCATCTTAAAAAGACCTAGTGTAAGTGTAAGTTGGTTTAGCCCAACTGCGGTGAAGAAGCATCAAGAATGCAACATCAGCCTCAGCATCGGGCACTATAAATATATAAAGGTACATATATATATATGATATTCATCTGCTAACAGCCGACCGACACGTGTGTTGAAGTCCCCGGTGAGTACAATGATGTCCGACTTGGCCGCTTTGCGGAATGGCTGATGAAGCTAGTTTTAGAAAACGTTCGTGTTCATTTCAGAGCTATAATCGTTAGGCGCGTAAGCAACAAACACCAACAGCTTGCTCCTTTCAACGCGATGTCTGTTAATCCTGCATGACCCTTAAATTGAACTGTAGGTAGTCGGCTGTTAACTGGGAACCAATCAAGAAGTACATCCTCCTCTTTGTTGCTTAAAGCCACGCCAACGCCGGCCAAGCCAGCGGAAGTAGCTTCTGCGTTGCCAGATAAATATAAATGCTCTGTGGCTTTCTGGTTGGTATCTTTCAACTTGAGCACAGAACTTGGGTGCTGCAATCGTGTTTCGGAAAGGCAGCAGATATCAATGACGAGCGAACTCAGAGTAAGTGCAAAGCCGGCCTGTTACCCAATTTGTATAAGCATCCAGACATTGAGGTTTGCCAAACCAAGATCGGGGTCGAAGAATAACTTCTGGCAGGATAACAGGGGCAGCAGTGAAACCGGTAGGGGGACTAATTTATGGAACCAGGGATTATAAACAAAAGAATGGTTGGTATGTGATGAAGCTTGATGAGAAGTCAAGGAGGCAGGAATGAGAGAATGTGAGACAACAGCGTGATATGTGGTTCTGCAGCAGGAGCAATACTAGCAGGTTGCCCAGGCCGATGTATGGTGTTGACTTAGGGGGCAACACCCCAAGCATTTGGCTCAATTGCCCACCCGCAAGGGAACCTAGCCTATTTGGAGCCGGTGATCGATTTCTCGGTTCATACTCCTTTCCTTTGGTGGGAAAGCAAACAATCAAATCTTCGTTAGTGTAACACAGTTTGACGGCTGGGACACAATGCTCCATCGGAATAAAGCAAGAGCCAGTAACTATCTATTGGTGAGTCACATCCGCCACGTAGCAGGGTTGTTAAAAGAACTTGTATCACTCTCTATAGGGAGAACGCTTTCCAGGCGAGAATTCCCGTCCTCCGGGAACACTGCAGTAGGACTACTGTAAATAACCTTTGGTCCTGTTCCACGATCACAGAACTCTCGTAAAAGCTTATATGTTACATATACCACAGTTGATATCGAATGTGCATCCCTCATAAGTTTGGATATCGAGGGTTGGTCGATAGTAGTTCAAACAAAACTGAAATCATAAATGCACAAAGGCCACGGTCATACATCGCTGGAAACTCTAGGATATAGCAGGAGCTCTCAGTCAACAGCGGGTATGTTGTGAGACACTACTAGTATGATTAAAGTTTACCTTGTTTTCTGTCCTTTACTTCAAACTTAATCTTTTTATTACGTCACTCCATATGGTGTGAAACTGCCAATTGTACTGCTGGTTGCATATATAAATATAAATATGTATATATGTATATATATCTATAGGAGTCCTATCATCCTCTGTAAACAGTATCGTCTAATAATGAGTCAAACCATGGCGTCTGTGTTTATTGCATCTTTTTATGGCTTCTTAATCAACGGGGTGAATCCAGGGGAAAAGCTTATTCAAGGCCCGATGCAATATTTCTTAATAAGCGTCCGCTAATTCCCGCCAAGTAGGGATATAAATTTTATTGCGTATCGACTTGAGTAGTGTATCCGTCTATGTGATTTCCTAAAGAAACTTAAATGTCTGTCATGAGGGGGCATCTCACTAGCGCATTTGAAGCTGACAAATAAAACTATTAAGCTTTGATACTTTGCATAGCGACATGAATACCATTAGCGGTATTTCACTTCATGTTCCAACAAACTGTCATCGCATTAACTGGTTGCAAGCTAATTTCGGCTTTAGGATTGAGGAAAGATACACGTGTTCTTTTTGGGTTATATTAGTTTATCCCAAATGTTATGAAGCAAACGCGATATTTACCAACTCACAGATATTTTCGCAGCTTCTAAGAAATTTTACTCTGCTTCTATCTTAATTCAGCAATACTCGGTGGTTACAATCTGTATGTCAAAAGGGCCAGTTTTAAGGACGACGTTTTGTTCAAACAAATCTTGGACGAGAGACCAGATGGGATTGTGACTGCAACCCCTGTAATTGAAGAGGCAAGTCGATTTCCTTGATACGTTTCAATCTAAATGCATCTTGTGTTCTTGCTCAGCAGAATGTACAGCACGATTGCGATGTTGATATACAGACCAAGAAGAGTTAGAGGTATTTTAGTTTAGCAGTATAAATAAAGCACTCAAAAATGTTATCCTGTCAGCCCAAAAAAGAAATAGTGATATAGTTCCCGAGCAGACCTCTGTAACTCCCGACTAATTCACAATGAAAATTTGAAAGAGCCCTCCTCCATCTACGAAAAAACTATTACAGTTTATATCTAGGGGGCCGGCGTGCGTGTTGCGCCCGCCAAATCAATCTTATACTCGATGGAAATGGTGGATTAAGCGAAAAATAAGTCCAGCGTGCTTATCCGCAATCTTAGCTTAGCGGCGGGAAGAGCAAACACCACGGTTTCACCGTTACCAAGCGAAAACTATGATGCTTCTCGTTTTGCTTGCAGATCATCAGTCTGCAGATAAATATACAATAGATGACTCAAGTTGTTTCTTGACCCTTATTTAACGAAACCCCATCCTGCTGTTTGACCACGTGAAATTACCTGCCGCCGTAAATCAGTAACGTTTGCTTCAATGCGCAGGTTCTCTACGTCGAGCGCTGTTATCCACTTCTCTCTAGCTATTACAGAGACCAAAGCTATCCTAGAAAACGTTTACTAATGGCCGACTAATCAGCTCCGTCAGGTTCTATGGTGCAGCACGTCACTGCATTAAGCTAAAAATAGAAAATATCCGGAAATCCAAGTGATTCAGACCAGTCAAGTTTGAGGAAATTGCTGTCAGAAGTGGAAAAAGAGCGGGCAAGCACTATGGTTTTGCACGGATAAACGCCGAGCACAACAGTCTTCCAACTCAAGCTAACTCAAGCGCTGATGGATCTCGAGCTGCAATTTTCAATTACAGAGCCACCAATGGATAGCCAAAGCCTCCTCGCAATGATGGCTTGTAAGATACCGTGTCATACTGCTGTTGGAAGTTGATACGTATTTCCGGTTACATTTTGCATTGACTTGAATTGTGGCGAACAAGAAGGATGATCGACCAGATGTCTTGGTATTTGTATGTCTGCTAAGCTTTCGAAATACGACCGACTTGCCCTTATAAGACAACTGCGACTAGCCATTTGTTCTTTGCGTCACCTCTCTTGACAACGCTCAGAACGGTGCTTTTTAGAAGAGAAATACCTGCTGAAGTGCAAAGAACTACATTAGTGACAAGCATTTAGGGACTTTTACATAATGGCTTTGTTGGTAGGAAATGTAACCGATAACGGATTCTATTTCGATAAACTAGCATTGGCAAGCGGAACAGGCCGAGACTTCTTGATAATTAGCTGATACATTTCAAACTGTAATCCTACTGGCTCTGTGCTTGCACCGCCATATGATGTGGCTCCATTAGGTAGACATAAGTAAGATTCTGTGAGCTTATTGGCAAAACCTGCGAACTAAGCAGAAATCATGTATTAAATTGCGCACCTGATCGTTACTCCTCGGTAGCTCAGTTTGTATAGCAGCGGACCGGTAATCCGTATGTCCGCGGTTCGAGTCCCCATCGACGCAGATTATTGTGCAGTTTTATCTTGGCTTCTACAAAAAATAATAGAGTAAAATTTCGGGACCTAGGGATATGCCCATCACGGCATGATCAAAATTTTACAATTGTACCTTATGATATCTAGTGGATAGTCTAAACGTTAGGCAGAAATATCATGTGTGTACCATCGTTGGATCTCCACTTCAAGCTTGTGCAGTTTTTATTGCTACTGTCCTTTGGATATCAGCTTGGTGAATCCCGGGGGTATCCGCATAGTGGCTCTAATAAAAACTATTCATAATAAACAATGAACAATGATATGTCATGGGATAAGAGCAAGTGCTTGACACTAGCCATAGGATGGTTGGAGTGAATACGATGAAATCAAAATATATGTGTGTCATCTACCGGGCGTCTACCGATGTGAATGCTTTGCTAAATAACGTGAGTCAAGTTAAAGAAATTGAGTGTAAGCGTGCAGAAATACATGGGATGCAGTAGTCGTTGATATTAGGCGTGAGAAAAGTAAAATTTAGTCGCATAGTTGGGTTCATTTGATAAATAATTCCTGTAAAAACATGCTCGGCGTAATCCAAAATAGCATAGATTAGGTAACAAAATAGTGGGAGCTAAGAGCAACATCTAATCTTTTTTTTGAGAACGTCCAAGATGAGGAGAATTCAACTAAGTCTGGGAGTGCGGTTCAGCGTTGGCAAACCCGAAGTGAAAAGTAATTACTTCAACACTGTAGATGGATATATTGTTATACAGTTTCAAGCAGTTGCTCCTGAGCTGCGTGTTGTGGTTATGTTTCAGCAATTGGTGGCATACGTGGTTGGGGTCACACAACATTTGGTACGCTAATATAAGTTCGCCGAGCAGCTTTCGGTAGCGTCCGCAGAAAATTCCCAGCAATTTCAGTATTCGATGGTAGGAGTGGTAGGTAAGGCCCTTGCCATTCTTTGTTGCTGTTCGTTGTAGTGCCTCTAATGCCTTTAGGGCACCATTCAAGCAAGGTTACAATGCTCGGGTAGTGTATTCAACTTGCAGGCGCACGTAGGAATTGTGCATCATTGATTGGGTTGATAGGTCGAATCGCCCGATTACGCTTCGTAGCATGCCGATGTGCTAATTGCTTCTTTGCGCAGCTACTTACGACTGTTTTGAACAGTTGAGGTCACTCTTTACTAGAACACCAAGGTCACCTTCCTAGGAGCTGGTCTGCAATACGTTTATCAAAGCAAATACGTGTCTACGGCCTAATTGCACAAGGCGACATTTGTCTACCTTGAATGGTATGGCATTTTGAACTGACCATTTTGACACCATGTTATGATCGCACTGGAGCCGTTCGTGGTCGTCCGGTCCTCTGATCCTTTGCATAGCACAGAAATTAACGTAATTGGACGATAGTTGGTAGGGTTACTGCGGCTACCTCCTTTATGTTTAGGAGTGATGACCCTCTTTCCTTACTCGTAGAATATGGTTCTCCTCTAGACATCGCTGATAGAAAATAGCAAGTGGTTCTGGTAGATCACTAGCCACAAGACGTTTTCCGCAAGCAAAAATAGCCTATTTTTGTACCTAAATTTTCAACATATCCGAGAACTTTTGTCTCTGTTGCAGCGGATTCCTATAGCTGCTGATGAGACAGAGCAAGAGCTTACTAATGAAGAGCGACAGAAGCGAGAGGAATTTAAGAGCAAACGTCGTGCTCTGGCTCTGGAGGGAGCGGACGGTCTGGATTTGAAAGCCGTTTTGTCCAATCGGGCTCCTGTGCACGGAGAGGAGCTAGATGAAGAGGACGGAGAAGGACACAAATCGGAGAATGATGATTCAGCAGAGTCGCAAGAGGAAGAGGTCAAAATATGCGTCACTGACCATGACAAACAGTCAGAAATAAACCGCCCGTCGATATCGTAGCACTGGAGCTGTATTACATAATAAGGAGGTGCTCTTCCATCTTCAGTCGTATCCGCCTCTCAGACGGAAGAATTCATCCACTGCACAATATACCACAAAAAGGGATATTCAGCCATGTCTAATAATCAGTGACACTTCGCCAAGCTTACCGGTTTTAACAAAGTCTCAGTAGCAACTTACCAAACAAACACGAAACATGAGTCATCATCACCGTCTTTGTCGGACCGCTGCCACGCATTTGCATGCTATTGATTTGCAGATTTTATTCATAAAGAAACCCTGGAATTAACAATTTATGATGACGCTGGTTGGTATGAATTTATCTTTGTAGGCACATTGTATATGTCTTCAAATATTGGTGATCGTGTCCTTCGACAAATTGACGACCGAAAAATGTCACGTTTGCTTTGATTTTCTCGAACTTACATTTTTGTGTATGGTATGCAAATAAGATTTGTATTAAAAAATTGCCCCTGGTGTATGTGCTTTAATAGTGATATTGCTTCCGAGGCATCATAAACTTTCCGACGCAAATATAGACATACATCCAGTTGATAATACATTACCTAGTCCAATGGGCTGGCTGGATTTAGGATGAATATTTTGTGAGAAAGTGTGTCGCTCTTGGTACATCCAGTAATGGCCACTTTCCAATGTTGCTCTCGAATATTGACGAATAAACCCCTGGTTCTGTGGGAGGATAGCTGTCAATATGTTAACTTCCACCTGTCATTTAAGAAATCGCTCGATAATTTGTAGGATGTTCAAGCTTCTGTCTTCACATTTGTGCATTCGAAAAATAATCCGAACGTTCGTCCTAGTCATCTATGTATCTTTCTGTGCATCCGTTTTCGAGGGTTGCTGCTGTCTGTAAAAGCGTAAGTAAGTACAGTCAAAACGAATGGTACTGATACAGATGCTTGCTTGTCACACGCAGCAAGGTTTTGAAGGTTTTTCCTTTGAAAACTGAAAGACCTGTTTTGGTCACCTGTCCAAATATTCCTATTTGGTAAATATGCCATAGATATTCTTGCGTATGTACTACAACAGTAGTAGTGTGGTATTTTAAAGAGGTCCAAATCTGCGTGAAACGATCCACTGAACTTATATGCTCGGCAGAATTATAACATGTAAAGGATATTTGTTGCAACATAAGCCGGAAATTTGGCAAAGTATAGATTGTAAGTTGCAAATATAAGCTACATATAAAACTCAGCATAAATACTCTAACCTGTCTCATCCCAACCACTAGCTTGAGAGACAGTGTTTGGATTCAAGCTCTCGTTTAGTCTTTGCAACGAACAACATCCGCCGAAGTGATAAGCACAATGACACCTACTACTCGCTAGAGCTAAGACTTCCGAAATGAACTTTAGTTGTGGCGCAGACAGCTAAGTTAAACTTGTGTAATTTGGAATAGAACGCAAAAACTGCCGAAAGTCTTTTCATTCGGTGTGCTGGCCTTAGTTGCAGCCAGCTAAAACTTTATAGTACGACAGATCCCCTCTGGTTCTGCACTGATCGTACGTCTATTCCATTCGTCAGATGTATTACAGTATTGGCACAGAAGTGCGACTGGCTGACAACAATTGCGGAGTAAGCAGCAGCCGTGAAAGCTGTCCCACATAAACCAACAAATCAGTGCCTCGAAAGCAATACTTACCATCAAGCTTTATTCCAGAACAATGTAGTCGGGTCGAAAATACCGACAAAGAGTTGGCAACTCCGACTCTACCGGCTGTTCATAAGGTGCACGCGTTACTCATTCTTCATCTGAACCAACCGCCACACCAAACACTGTTATAGGGCCGAAAAGACGCGTCCGTATTTGCCACCCATATGACGGAGACACCTCCGATCGTAACACCGCCAGCTGCCAAATGAGTTAATACGACAAATTCCACCACGGTACTCAAGAGGCTATCAGTTGTCCAACTGAAGAAAGCAGTCACTGCTTCCTTTAAAAAGAAGAACATGAAATAATACCATATTTCTCTGAGTGTCTTATGCTTTAACGTGACTAAATCCGGGGCAAACTCTGTAAAAAATAACTTACTATAATACTAAAGCATTGGGTCAACTTGGGTCAGCTAATAGGAGTTCAAGCTAAACCAAAGGTGGAGGAAGTTCAAGCCATCAGCTTTCACATTTGTGCAATCGACAAAATAATCTGAACCTTCGTCCAGTTCATATGTGTATCCAACAACGCATCAAAATTTACGTAAATAGAGTGAAAACGGCTGAAACTGATAAATCTTTGTTATCTCACTCAGCAAAGTTGAAAGGGTGTTTAGGTTGAAAACTAGAAGGCATTGTTGTGTTAGCTGTCCAATTCTTCTCGATTTATAAAAAGCCATAATATGTTTACGTACTTAATATAACAGTAATAGTGTGATTACTTCAAGAGGCAGAAATAAGCGTAAAACCGTGCACAGAACTCACATGACTGGCTAAATTAGATCACCTACACGATATTTTACGGCATAAGCCTAAAATTTGAAGAAAGTTAGGTTGTACTGTGCATTGCTAAAATACTGGATACAAATGCCTCTCTTAGTAGGATGTGGGGTCCTACTCTACTACCGCAGCGATCTACAATGTACAATAGTTGATGATCTGAAAACACACATTACCGACTCACTCTGGTGCCGTCTCCGACTAAGACACGTGTCTCATAGCTACCGTTTACCGCCTCCCAACGTCCACTCCGGAAGTGGATTTCTGCTTGATCCGTGGCCTAACCAGAGTAACACGCACTAGGTACAGCCACATTCTCATCTCCGGGGACTTCAATCTACACAATCTGGAAGTTTCGGCATTGCCCAGTGAGCAGTTCAAAGCAGACTTGCATGAACTGATCGCTAATATTCCTTTGTAAAATCATGTCACCACGCCCACTAGATTCAGGACAGCAAACAAACCGTCCATATTGTACCTTGGGCTCACGAATGAAGAGCTCATGGTTGACAAGTTATTGAAGGAGAATCCATTAGGTCTCAGTGACCATGTAGTAACAAAGTTTAACTATGTGCGTTATGCAGAGTAGCCATCTGAACACTCGGAACCAACTCATACAAGCACACGCTACCACGTATTAAAAGAACTCGCCGACGCAGCTGCTTGGGAATTCTCAAACAAAAGTCCCCTTGACAACGTTTGGGCAGAGTTCGTTACTAGATTCAGCGACATCGTCAAGAGAGCATCAAAGACCAAGCCACTTCGTCCCGCAAAAATGCCTTCAATGCTAAGCAGCAGGACTCGAAAATGAATGGCGATAAGGAAGCAGAATGGTATGCTTACAAGATTAACCCCGACTCAGAGAATTGGGGCCATTTCCTGATCCATCGCAACCATTGCACTGCACTTGTCCTTGAGGACAAAGTAACATCAACAGTGCCTAGCCAGAAAACTCATGTCAACCAACAAACTACTATATAGGCGTATCAATAAGCTTCATAAAGTGAAGCATGGAATACCCTCACTATTCACGATAAGCGGTAGAGTACAAAGCGCCGAAAAAGCAGCTAATGCCCTTCGGCTACAATACGCCCCAGTTTTCGAACTCGAAACCTCTACTTGTTCCATGACGTCATGCACATTACTGACACCATTGTTTACAAATGTACTTTTCAACCCAGCAATTGTGTTAAGGAAGTTACTCTCACCGCGTGAGCATAGTTCTCCGGGAGCAGACAACATCCGCCCGAAGGTACTGAAGGCTGTGGCCAACAACCTAGCTGAACCACTGTCACAGTTCTTAGAAAGATGCTTTAATAAAAAACAAGTCCCCACTATGTGGAAGTGTGGCATTATAATCCCTATTTTTAAAGGCGGTAGCCGTTCAGATCCTGCAAACTATCGTCCAGTGACTCTCCTCCCTGTGCTCGCGAAGGTGATGGAAGCAGTCGCCGCTGAGGCTTTAATGGACTACCTGGAAAAATGCAACATTTTGTTACCGGAACAGCATGGCTTCCGTCAACACCGGTCATGCACCACCAACCTACTGATTGCAAGAAGTAGTTGGACGGAAGTGGTCCATGATGGGGTCGGAGTTGACGTCATCTATCTGGACTTCTCCAAAGCTTTCGACGACCTTGATCACCGCATCCTACTTCAACGACTACAGAGTTACGGAATCGGAGATCCTGTACTTGGTTGGGTTGGCAGCTTCCTTTGCCAACGAAAGCTTCAAGTACGTGTTAGGAGATCACTCTCTAACCCAATTGAGGTGGAATGTGGTGTTCTACAAGGCTCAGTGCTGGGACCGCGTTTATTCCTGGTGTTTAACAACGACCTGGCATCAGTTATCTCGTCAAATTTTCTGCTTTTCGCCAATGGTGTCAAGATATGGCGGGTTATTAGTAACATGTCAAATCAGCATCTGCTCCAACATAACTTAGCTTGCATTTACGAATGGTCAAAGAGGAACAAGCTTCAATTGAACATAGATAGGTGCAAAGTGATACATCTGCATCACCAGCCGGTGAGCGCTTACAAGATTGGAGACCACACCTTGGCAAAAGTTTCTCAGGAGCGTAACCTGAGTGTATTGGTGCAGGAAGATCTTGGGTGTTCAAAAAAAGCAGATAAGGCGACGAGAACCGGAAATCAACACTTCGGCCTTCTTTGCAGAGCATTCGGTCGGTTTGAACCCTCAATATTTGAACAATGAACAATGAATAATGAATTTATACGGGTTAAGGAGCGTTGCTGTACAAGTCCCGTTGGATAGTTGGTGGGGATATCAACATAACAGTAACGATGATAAGGATAGTAAAATAGTTAATAATTTAAGTATGAAAATAAGGACTTATCGTGTGCTACGCTGCAGTTCTGCGATCCTCTTAGATTCACAGCATCCAAGGTTAACAACAAATAATTCCATGGTAAACTCCAGGTGTAGGATTGAAACGTAGTGTTAAGTGACAAAGTGTAAGTGGATGAGTGCTTCGTCCAACCGTTTTTTAACTACTGTTAGTGTCGGTGCAGAGACGACCGATTCTGAGAGAGCATTCCACGGGTGACAGACACGGACGGAAAAGACATTTCTGCGGCACTCCAGACGACTGTATTGTTCTGCGAGTTTTAATGAGTGGCCCTCAGGTTTGTATTGCTGCTGAGTTGCAGTAAGGGGCGGCACACATGATGGGAGTCTCGCAGAATCAAGTATGCCAAAATCAGGTCACCTTGTAGTCTGCGATAGCTTCCATTGAACAATCCCAGTCGTTGCAGTCTCTCCTGGTAGGAAAGATTGCGCATTCCAATTACTTTCTTAGATGCGCGGCGTTGTGGCTGCTCCAGTGCATTAAGGTCGTGTTTCAGCCATGGATGCTAGGTTTGAATTGCATATTCGACATGGGGTCGAACATACGCACTGAGCATTTGTCGAAATATGGTGTTGTTTATTTGTCCAAACGCCCGCCTCAACAGCCCGACGTGTTGGTTCCCGGTCTTCGAGCCCTTTTCGGATTGCCTGGAGCAACCCGTCATCTTGAACCAGGACACCCAAGTCACGTTCCACAGCTGATTGTTGCAGTATATTCGTTCCAAA